TCCAAAAAGGAATATTCAAATTTGTTAATAACATTTGAATTATAGCCAATTTTCATATTTGTAACGGTTTTTTCTATAAACTTATAACGCAATTATTAGATTAATTATCTAAGATTCATAAATTATAAAACTGTCATTATTAAGTATAAAATTAACGCTTTCGTGCTATATACAAATTATTGTTTAAATAAATTATTAATTGTTTATTTATTAATAACAGTTATTATTAAGCTGTTATTAATGAAACCAATTCTTACTCATATTCATTTCTTATTCATTTTGCATTTGGACTATTTACATTTTTCTAATAATTCATGTTTTTAGTGTAATAAATAAATTAACTTTGCATATTAAAATTTATTATTATTTAATAATCAAACGCAATTCGTATGACTATATTCTAAATCTACGTACTAAAATCTATATAAGAAATACTTTGTTATATCAAAATGATCTCTAATTAACATATTCTTCTTAAATAACAAGAATCATTATATCTATATCTATTACTTTGTGACGTCACGCTCCTTATTTTGGTTATGAAATTAGACTCTTGTACTAATACAATCAAATAATCGGTGAGGTGGCGCCGTTTAATGTGCTGATTTGAGTAAACAGATAGATGCGTTTGACGGGTTGCGGTAATTCAGTAACATAATGAACTAGCTAATAGATAGGACCGTTACACACTTACTACCAGCCTCTTGACCACAACATCGATCAAAGGTTACTGCTAGCCTCACACCAATCCGACAAACACCCACACTCATACCTGCCTGTCATCGGCTACTTAAACTAATGCAAATGAGAGAGAAGAGGGGCAAGACGAGCAAAAAATAAAATGAGCAACGAATTGAGGAGAGAGTTTCTAGTTATGACCGCGAACGAATGTCCTTCCGTACCCGTAAAACGAATCTAAATCGCGATTAGCGCTGAATCTCCGTTCCAATATTATGCTTGTCCAGCTAATTATTGATGAGGTGCTGCCTTATTGCCTACTGCCAATTGATTAAGTTGAAGCTGATTATTGAGCAGTCCAGCCACTTGTCGCACGCATGCCCAAGTAAGAGATGACAAGTGTTTGTAGTAAGCGATTATATCTGTTGTTCATCACTCATGCACTTTAGGTTTATTGATTATAGCGCTCTTGGTTGCGAGTTCGTCCCATAGCTTTACCTTCAATTTGTTGATTAATTTAGGATTTGTCCGGCCGCATTTGCCATGAATTCTTCAATTGTCATACCGCGCAGTTGCGGATAATTGTGATTAGCGAAAAACCTTTTTTTATTATTAATTTTACGTTTTGTTGGCCAGCCGCAAGCGAGTGTTGTAAGGAGCTCACGAATTACATGTGCGATTTATTATCATTTTCTTTTGTATTTTTTCTTTCGTTTGTAATTGTACTACGTACTCGTCAAATTTCTTAGTGCGTTTAAATTCGTTTTGACGCTAAAGTTTTGTCAATTTGATTTTGATAATAAATTCTTTCCTATTGTTTTTTTCGCGCAATGATCTATGTATTCTATACGCGTGTTTCCTTTGTCTCTCCCCTACTTTTCCAGCCGCTATTTTACAAACAGGAATCCGCTGCCTACCGTGGGAAAGCAAGTAAATGCAGAGCGTCGAGGAAGAACAGAGAGACATTGCTTCTCGACGCTCTTGAAGTTTCATAATTAATTTTTCTTTATTTATTAATACCTGGTGCTCTAAGAAATCGCAGTCGCCGCATTGTGCGTGGCATTGAGCAAGATACAACGTTACAATATATATATATATAACACATGGATCAATAAGTCCCGAGACTAACAATGAAAACATTTTTTTTGCAAAATTTTTTTTTATTCATCAACATAATCACCTTTTAGGGTGATACAATGGTTCCAACGGTTTTCCAATTTTTCAATACCATGTTTATAAAAAAATTTATCTTTCGCTTCAAAATAAGCTTCAGTTTCAGCGATGACCTCCTCATTTGAGCCAAATCTTTTTCCCTGCAGCATTTTTTTAAGATCAGCAAAGAGCCAGTAGTCACTGGGGGCTAAATCTGGCGAGTATGGGGGGTGGAGAAGCAGATCAAAACCCAATTCGTTCAATTTTGCCATTGTTTTCATCGACTTGTGGCAGGGTGCATTGTCTTGGACCGAGTCGCTTATACGAGGTATTGAGTCCGTTGTAACTACTTCCTCGTTGATATTGTTTTCATCGATATTTACTTCGTCGCCGTTGTCCACGGACCAGTTACCAATGGCATAAGGGAGGAACTTCATAATTATTATTCCAAGGTAATCGACTTCTGAAAAGTAGTGGATCATTACCTCCTCTTGGTTAGTATAACTAGTTTGTAGCGGTACCATTTCTGATGAGTTCACGCTCCCAGCAGTCCTGATTAGGCGAATTACCGCGGCTTCTTCTGCTCTGAGGCGTATTCCACTTACTTCTTCCATCCTAGGATGGAAGAAGTAAGTGGAATACGCCGTGGTCCGATAAGTACTTAGCCTCACCGCCCGATGGCGCCACTCTCGCAAAAGAATTATTCTATCATGTAGTACAACCTTCTCGATGGTTACTGTCAAGATTTTAGCCGGATCGGAGTTGTAGTTTATTTTTGAGAGCGTGTGAAAGCAAGTGTGTCCGTTGATTTTTGAAAAATGGAAAAAGAGCAGTATCGGTCGGTGATTCGATTCTTGTTTTTGGAAGGGAAATCGCGCAGCGAAATCAAAAAGCGCTTGGATGTTGTGTACTGCGACTCTTCGCCTTCGATGGCGACCGTCAAAAATTGGTTTAACGAGTTTCAACGTAGTCGCACGTCGATTTTTGAAGAGCCACGTCCAGGTGCTCCGAAAACGGCTACCACGGAGGATAACGTGACAAAAATTCACGATCTCGTATTGGCAGATCGACGATTGAAGGTGTGCGAGATAGCTAATATCGTAGACATCTCAAAAGACCGTGTTGGTCATGTCCTGCATGAAATTTTGGGCATGAGAAAGCTGTGGGTGCGATGGGTGCCGCGTTTGCTCACTCCGGATAACAAGCGCAACCGTGAGAAAACTTCAGAACAATGTCTGACGCTGTTTAAGCGCAATCCGGAGTTTCTGCGTCGTTTCGTGATAGTCGACGAAACATGGATCCAGTGGTATACACCAGAGACCAAGTAACAGTCGAAACAGTGGATTTTACCCGGCGAAAGTGCTCCGAAGAAGGCGAAGACTGCCCCATCGGCCGGAAAGGTGATGGCCACCGTTTTCTGGGATTCACAAGGTGTGATCTACATCGACTACCTAGAGAGGGGCAAAACGGTCACAGGGCTGTACTATGCCGAATTATTGGGCCGATTCGACGTCGAATTGCAAAAAAAACGGCCCCATTTGGCGAAGAAAAAAGTGCTCTTCCACCATGACAACGCACCGGCTCACACCTCCGCCATCGCCATGGCCAAATTTGTCGAATTAGGCTACGAACTGCTGCCCCATCCACCGTATTCTCTATATTTAGCCCCGTGCGACTTCTTTTTGTTTCCAAACTTGAAAAAGTCACTCGCCGGGCAGAAATTTGAGTCGAATGAGGAGGTAATCGCTGTCACGGAAGCCTACTTTTCAGACCTCGAGGAAACGTATTTTTCATCATGATCTTTGTATATTGATAAGTCAACTCATTCGTCACATATCCAAGGATATTTGATATCGTTTTCTTGGTCCTAGCGTCTCTTACGTACTTGTGTATATTGAGCTCCGTATAATGTGTCACAATTTTCGATAGCTTACACTGTATCAGCGGCATCATAATATTGTACATATCCAATAGACAAAGAGCCCTTATAGTTCCGTACTACTTTATGATAAAACAGTCGTCCAAATTCTCCAAAATGTTCAAAGAAAGCACTCTCTCTACGGTTTTCTTCGATATTCCAAAGCAATTTACAGAAGAGACGGGTTTTCTCCATAGAACTCGGTGCCACTTTTTTAAAAATTTTGGTTTTTACTATTATTTGTCCCTATAGAATGACATCAATCTTTGAGAATTTAATCTATTCGCCTTCTTTTGCATGCTCAGCCTGTTCGTACGTGCATAATACCAAGTTTTTGTTGCTATCGGTGATGTTTTCTAATGAGTGGAATTCTCGTAATGGTCCGATCATTTTCAACCGAGTCAAAAGATCACTCAATTTGCTATAATCTGGGTATAAGAGTTTTACGCATCTAGAGTCTTCAACGACTAGTTACCTGGTACATTTTCGGGTCTTGTTGCTGAAACAAATGGTTAGTAAATTTTAATTATTAGTAAATAAAAATCAATTAAAGATGCATGGCTTCTCTCGAGAGTGCCATTAGTCTCGGATCTGTATCCGGAGGTCCTTAAATGGTGAATTTTAAATAATGACTCTACAATCTCAGAAAGAAAACTGGTTCCGCGATCTGACAGTATTGCTTGCGAAGCGTCAAACTGACATATTAAGTATCTAACTAACATATCAGCTGTAGTGGTCATCCTAAGATCTTTTATCGGTATAACAATTAAGTATTTGGTCAAGTTACATTGCATAGTCAGCAAATGACAGTTTCTAGAAAAATATAGCCTAGGCTTGGTCCGTAATTTTCCTGCAGTATCAAGGGTCGCGGGAGCGACCTGCGGCATGAATGCCGGAGGCGCGGACTACGCGACACTATTACACAACAGCTTCATAATGGGCCGATTCAATTTATGATTTATACATAAATTATACGATTTATATTCTTGAAATATCATTTAAGAGACTCGTTTTTATATTGTACTTAAGAAAATATTTAATTATATAATTTAACATTCCCGATTTACATCTTATTTCATCGTCATTTCGCGAAATGGCCTAATTTTATTTTCTTCTCCAGTCAAATTTTTGTCCACTGTTGTCCACACATTGGATGTGCTGCGCATGTGTTATTTGGCTTACTTATCGGCGTCTCTGTATGAGACCCCCCGCCATCTATTAAACTAAAACTAAATCAATATGTTATACTAATAAGAAACTGCATAGTTCGTGTCTGTTCGTGTCTGAACGCATTACATGATATTGTGGCCTCGTGATAATTCAAGGATTTACTTTCAACAATTGGTGAGTAAATTATCATTACTTATAAATTACATTATTATAATGATAAAAAGTAACTCTATGTAATTATAAAATAAGATAATTATATAAGGAAAGTAAGTGAAGCATGTGCACGAGGGTGATCCGTGCAATTGGTTATGTGAACCCTGATTTTTGACTGACAAAACAATTACCTATAAGATATTGATTTAATGACAACTAAATAACAACTATTAAACTGTAACAATAACAACTAACAGTTTAATGATAGCAACTGCTAACAATTTAATGATAACAATTGTATAATAATATATTAATAATAACTGTAGAATATCAAATCGTATAACATTTTAATGCAAAGACTAATACTATATACTATATTTTTCTTCATAGACATTTCAACACCGGTTCAAAATGCCTGTCAATTCGCTAGGAGTTAATATAATGTATACCACCGACCAAGATATCAAATATTTGCTGGAGGCTGAAGAAGACTACAGTGTGTAAGTTAAATCTTTATCAAGTTTCAAATTATTCTTTCAATAAATACTGATAATGTGGGAGTGTATTTGCTTAGTTAAAGTGTCAGTACGACAGTATAACACATACATAACATACGACAGTATAACATATACATACATAAAGTATTAATGTTTTTTTGTTTATTTTATAGATTATGTACTCTCACATTAATTTTATAGCATTTATAGAGAAAAGTTTAGTATCGTCTTGGTCAATAATTCAGAAAGAATAACAAGCTCTCTATATAAATGCATTTTTTTTTCATAATGAAATAATGTTTTTTAACGCTTATATTTTATTATTGTTTAGAGAGTTTATAGGGTACCTGGCAGAAATTTTTGGCGTGTCTAAAGTTGGAGAAAAAAATGACAAGGACTTATTTCGGGCAGTAATTACTAATGGCTCCAAGAGATTATTTTTATTAATCTGGGGCCTCGAGGTCATTGATAAATTTCAAGGATTTTTCATTACTGGACAAGTGCGTATAAATATATATATATATGTGTGTGTGTCAGTGCGCTTGTGTTTGTCTGTGTCTGTATATGTATGTACTATTTAATGTATTGATATTGATTTCTTTTTCTAGATATTACATTTGGATGCTTGCGAAGGCCACGTTGTACGCACTAAAAGAATTCATAAGGAGTTTAATTTGGTTAACTATGAAATAATAATTCAGAAAGGTTCCAAAATATCAACGTGTGGTTTTCATGTTGTTGAAAAAATTACAAAACCAGTTGCAACTATTCCTGTTATTCCATTTTCTGATTTGATTAAGAATAGAGGCGAAATTAGTGAGTTGATGAAGTTTCTTTGTATAAATTTTTGTTCTTTCAATTGTTCTAATTGAAACTTTAATTTTATCTTGCAGAAGTCAAAGCCTTTATGAAAACAGTGATCACGCCTGCTTATAACAAAGAAGGGATTTTAAAATTTGGCACTGGCACTATTACTGATGGAATCCATAAAGTTCCTCTCACAGTCAATTCTTTTAAACTAGAAGATTCAAATAAATTAGCAAAAGGAATGCCTGTCATGGTTACAGCGAACGTATACCACAATGGTAAATTTCCATATTAGATTAATAGTATTACATCAAGGGTCGCGGGAGCGATAATGGGCCGATTCTACATATCCACTTTAGAAATTGAGTTTTTTTTTTATTTTGACATATTTTATTTAGGAAATACACGTCTCCAGTGTCGCAACATGTCTTGTATAGAAATACTAGAGAAAGAAGACAAACTGGATGAAGCTATAGTTGCGCACGCAAATAAACCTTTGAAGAGGTGTGATTCAACGGCTACTAATAATTCTACCCTACTATTAAATAAGAAACAACGTCTTGTAGAAATTCAAAATTTGTCAAACTTATCAATGGAAGTTGAGCGCAAAAAGAATGAGTAGTTTATTTATTTTCAATTAATGTTTAGCAAAAAAAAATAAGAAAAAAAGTTACGTTCTATTTAATATTTATTTAAAATGTAAGTGGACCATTAAGAAAAAATGTTAACTTACTTCCCTTCGATAATTCTTTTTTCGTAAAGACTATATTTCAAATTTGCTTTTGATTTTGATTCTATAAAAAAATTTTATACTAAGTCTATTGTAGCTTAATATTTATTTTTAAAATACATACTACTAACAGGAGGATAGCTATATATAATGACTGATATAAATAAGGAAGCGCTAAAGATTATATAATGACTGATATAAATAAGGAAGTGCCAAAGTTTAGTACACAAAATAATGAAGAAAAATGTATCTTTTGATTATGTATGCTATTCCAATAGTTATTTAAAAATATATAAATGTATAATAATAAAGTTATTAAAATCGAAATATGTATTAGTTTTATGAGTTCCGTACAGTTATCAATAAAATATATTTGTATTTTATTATAAATGGC